AATGTGTTTCAGAAAACATCACATTTTCATGACAGTGCAAAAGACACTTAATCTCATTAGACAAGAGGATGGAAATGTAAAGAATTTTCAGATAGACAAAGCCGACATGTTGAATGTCACCGTGATATTCAACACAAGTGAAGAAGGCATTCGAACACCTATGAGGTAGACTATAATTGCTTTTTGGAGAAATAAGAAGTTTGGTGAAATAACCAGATAAACAGGAATAGCAACACACTTTCTCAACAAGTGAAACTTCAAATTCTGAATCCTATTTGGTGTTAACTCAGTCTGAGACCTGATGTATTCTGAAGATTATGCGACCAATCAATGATTCACACTGTCCTTAAGAGGGGTAGTGATTTTACCAACTCACCGACTTACAACCTTTCGAATTACTTATCTCTGTTAGTGAAAAACCTTCAAATAGACAGACACTCAACATATTACTTCTTCATTTTAAAATTAATGAGAAAATTACTCGTAATCAACATTGTGCTCTCTCGAAAAAGTTTGAATGACCCGAAACAGTTTGCTCATAGGCAGAGAAAAAGTACTTTAGGTGCTGGTGGTGTATTACATCACAACATTGCCTTCTCCGTATACAAACAAGCCAAATACGTACATTTCACTTGGTCAGCCACCCCATATTTTGTCGATCTCCAGGAAAATGTTCCTTCTAGGCTACCACGTTAAGAAGCTAAGACAATCAGGAATCAGTCAACATCTGCATTTCCAGACTGTTAACTCGCGTATCTTACCTATTGTAATTTACTGCGCCACACCCTCAGTCTTGTCTACCTTAAGTGGACTATGTCATTTTGAGAAGGATATTCAAAGTTGTCCGTAGGGTAAGTGGTGTGCAAGTTAGTCGGGCAGCTTCTTACTGCATTAGTTGACAGACATTTGAACTCATGCTGGAAATGGTCTAAATCGATGTTGTCTGACTCTCAACACCCAAGCCCTATATTCTCAACTCTCCGCTTGTATCTCATCTGGTAGAACCAGAAGTCAGTACAGAAGATGGTATGCTCACTCGTACTACTAAGTATAGGAAGTCAATGACACCATACTTTCCCAGTCCGTGTTCTATGTGATAGAGACAATGTTAAGCGTGTAGCTTATGAATTATTACGTTGTAAGCTAAATAATTTCCCATTTTATTATCTCCTATTTGTAATATATCGTGACACTACTTCAACTAACTGACAATCTCAGCTACTAACCTTATTATTCCTTTGAATTTAGGATTTATTTTAGGATTCTGATAACGATGATACGTGACACATACGATGTCTGTCTCACTCTCTATAAAAACAGCTACTATTCTAAGTGTGATGAAGAAGAAGTGGAGGAATTCGCATCTGACGATTTATCACACCACATGTCACCCACCATATGATGATAAGACATAATGAATAGGCGATGACCTGGATTTGACTCTGGCCAACTCACTATTTCACTCTTTCACACATAGTTACTTGTAGACTATTGTTTCCAGTGATGATGAGACGACAAATCTGTTTGTATGAGCTGATTCATCTGTCTGGATGATGTAGTTATTTTGTGTCGTGTGGTGTGGTATGGTGTCGTGTCGTTTCTTGTCTTGTGAATATTCTTCATCATGTCTTATGATTACTGATAATTTTAGGAGTGACATTAATCATCGCGTATCCCATTCTCTCGCTCTCTCTCCGCTTACTAACTTTGCATCTCCAAATAGTTCAGCTGTTGGTGTATTTCACACTGGATTTATTTCGTGGTGGAGTTTGATGAGTCTGAAATGAGAAAACTGAGAATTGTGGTTTAGTTTGAGTATTCAATGTGCACATTGTTGTGACGTGGAAGTCAGTCTGAGTGGGATGTTGTAGGATCTGTGTGAAATCCTGATGACTGTACATAAAGTGGATTCAATATCGAATTTGGTTATCGACAACTTTGTGTTAAATAAGTTTGAAAAATACACTGCATGATTTGTGATCGGTGTCACGGATTCCGCACGCAAAATGTGCGAACCTGGATTCTACTGGGAAAGGTCCTGGGTTCGAACCCTGGTGGGTGCGTACAGCTGAGGAGTCCCAAATCAGGAGGAAACATCTGTCCCGTACTCCAAGGTTTTCCAGTTGATCTCTAACTGATGTTAGCTCATGATAAAATCCTCCATACAATCAAAAGAAAATATAGGCTGATATCTGAAGGTTCTGATTAAAACTTCAAATGTAATGTTAATTTCACACAGCGTGAAGAAAGAATGAATGAACATTCTGATGGGTTATAAACGATATTAAGTTGAAAGAAAATTGGGATTATTATCACAATGGGCTGCCTGCTTAAATCATTGGGCTACCGAAATTACTTTCCTCCAAAATGCCTAATTTGATCTGGATTTATCATTGTTTTAGTCGTCCAGTGATAGCAAATGACCTATAAATAAACTTGCACGATGATATAACTTGCTCCCAAGTAAACGCTGTACAATTCTTCAACGAAATGAAGATATACTTCAGATTATTACTTTACATGTGAATCCTGTGTGAAGAAAAAAGTACTTTGGAACTGAATACGCTGAAAATGTTTGTACCGTATACTCGCATACTGTCATAAATAAAGCTTTACCATTATTAGTATTATTAAATAAGGACTTATAGCAAAAATTGACACTACTGGGGGAAAGAGCACAGAAAATGAAAACGGCGAACCTGAATGCTACAACTCATTGATTCGTATCAGTAGTTTTCTACAACCCACATCACACATTAGTGCTTGCTAGACAGATTGAAGTTGTCCAAACACCGTATGACAGTTTCGTTCGTTCAAGGTCGAGTTGACATGCTGTGTTCCGGGTTTGACTCAGTCGAGAAATCTGAATTATTTCCAAACGACCAATTTCTGTCTGGCTACTTTAGCAAACTGGTAACACCTTAAATAAAATTCTCAGTTTACAAATTGACCACCAATTTTCAATTTACACAGTTCGAGGAATTAAAATTTTAGCCCCACTTTACTCTGGAAATCGAAATTATTCAGATCACAATGCTGAATCTACTTGGTAGCATAAATAGTGAGTGATCAAGTAAGCAAGCATAACTGCATAGAATCAGTTGATGTGAGTGGGGTGTGCAAGTACTCATCCAAGTCGACCGGTGGCATATAGTTTTTTACGGGTTCATTCCGGCTTTATAGATCACTAAGAAAATCACATATTGTCATGTGAATAGTTTAGTTTTCCAGAGGAATCACAAGGTGACACTCGAACTCCTCGAACTATGCCACCTGGAAATCGCTAACTGATTTGCAATTTTCGAACATGATTGGAGCAAAGATTTGAAATCGACAAACATGGTAACGTTTCTTATGCATGATTGTGTTGTATTACACAATCTCACTTTCCAATCATAACCACTTATAATTATATTGCTGACCAACTGTTCACAATTCGTCCAGTGCGAATGGGGATGCGATTCACGGGGGGGAGTGGGGAGGGAACATGGTCCGTTCTTCTTATTCGAATGTGAACTAATCTTAATATTAACAACGTGGTCGAGGTTCACTTCTCCTGAGGTGAATACACGTTCTCCTCACTTTATTCATTCATCTAACATTACTGAGATTATAGTTGGCTTCCCCTGTCCAGTCTGCTTTTCTTCGAGTTCTTATATTCAGTGAGGCGATTCACATAATAATCGATTAGTATAAGAAAGTTGGTAAAAATGGGACCACTTATAAATGCATGTGACGAATTTGTGCTATAACATACAATGTGTCAAGATAACAATAAACAGTATACAATCCAACACATATCAGCCGACGTCATCACCAAATACGATATTCAATCTATTTTATATACAATCATCAGGATTTCACAAACATCCAGCAACACCTTCCCATTCTTATTGACTCCCAACTCACAACAATCTCCACACTGATTAAACAAAACAGTTCGCAGTATACTAAACTCCAACTAGTCAAAATCACATACGAAATCCAATGTCAAACATACCCACCACTGCATTACTTGGAGATGCAAAGTAAGAAAAGCAGAGAGAGAGAGAGAGTGGATTATGTCAGAGAAGTACAAATCACAAATAAACGATGACTACTGTCACTCCTGAAATTATCAGTACTCACAAAACAAAATGAAGAATAATCACAAGACAAGATAAGACAAGAAATGACACGACATCGCACCACACCACACGAAATAATAACGTCATCCAGACAGATGAATCAGCTCATACAAACAGATTTGTCGTCTCATCATCACTGGAAACAATAGTCTACAAGTAACTATGTGTGAAAGAGTGAAATAGTGAGTTGGCCAGAGTCAAATCCAGGTCATCGCCTATTCATTATGTCTTATCATCATATGGTGGGTGACATGTGGTGTGATAAATCGTCAGATGCAAATTCCTCCACTTCTTCTTCATCACACCTAGAATAGTAGCTGTTTATAGAGAGTGAGACAGACATCGTATATGTCACGTATCAGCGTTTTGAGAGTACTAAGTTATTAAATATTTTTAATCTGAGTGGGAATTGATGAGGAGTGTAGTCTTTATTTTCTGCCAATCCAGACGTTCTTTCGTTTCAAATGTGTCTGTATGCAGACACCATGGTCTCCTATTGCATTGATAACCAAAATGTTGTCTGATGTATTGGCTACTCAGGTGTCTTAACCAACAGACGACTGGTTGATTGGCTAAGGATGCAAGACACGTTGTCATTGCCAATCACTTTCTAGCAATGTGGAATTTGACACTGGTTCTAATCTAATAGCGTGTGAGTGTAACACATTAACACAGACGCTACTTCTGTGCAATTCCTTAATTTGTCTGTTTAGTATATAAATCCCCTAGTGTCTGATGAAGAAGTACAGACTCAATGGACCAATTGTCTTTTTAGGTGAAGAATTGCAACACGGCTTATTGGATATACAAGAAATCAGAAATAGTATATAAACACACTCAGTCAGTGCCTTATCAGTAAGTTATTCAAGAAAGATGAAATTCTCTTTGATACAATTCATACTATTGGCGACAATGTACGGAACTAAGGGTAAGTGATGAATCTATTTTAACTTAACTTATCAGTAACTGATATTCTCTGACTTGTTTATTACTTTCAGTGCTTTGGAAATGTTATTCATGTTGGTAAAATGGCATACAAGTGTCTCACCTTACTTAACTGAGAATATCATGATGAGTAGCGTTCAGCGGCTCATTCACAAATTCTGAATAGTTTACAGGTTATATATGACCCATATGCTACCATCAAGTACAGTTGATGTTCCCTTACTACCCTGAATAACGCTACATCACAGTTCCACGTCATCAGTCCTCTGTGTCTCACTGACCTTAGTTCTCCAAGTATGTAGTCGTGTTTGGTATATACTTCACCTAATCTGTCTAGTTTATAAGTTTATTTTACCTGTGAACATATAAAGGAATACTTTGATTGAACACTAGTAACTAGTCTTATGCGTCTAGTCCTTCCCTTGGTGTAGACTGAATTCTATCAGTCAGTCAGGTTTGCAATATGGCCACCATACCACTAGGTGACTCGTCATCACGATGCACATTCATTTGATGATATTAGGTGGTTGGAAGCAATCGGCCACAGAAAGCCTTGCCTGACCTAGGTTTCGTGCTAGTTGGCACTCACCGGTCAGCAAGGAGTATCTGCAACTAACTTGAAGGAACTCATGTCCGTCCCTTCTGACACGAGTGCCAACTAGCACGAATCCTAGGTCAGGGTGGGGCTTCCTGTGGCCGATTGCTTTCAACCATCTAATGTCATATAAAGGAATACACTTAGGTACACATGGTGTGATACAGACAATGTGTGCCAACGGAATGTTATTCTCGCATATTCTCACAGTTCATTTCGGTATTAACAACAGATTACTATGCATATTTGAACATTCTTCTTCATGTTGTTTGATGTAAACCGAAATCACACGCTCAGCTAACAAAGTGGTTAACGAATATCAACTGTAGATGTATAAACAGCGGTTTTATTAGTGGAAAATATACATTGGCTTCCATGTCTTACCTTCTGTTGTTACAATGTGTTTACTCATTGTTGATTTATCCAAACCTTCATTTTAGATGTATCTACTGTGCCTACGTTCACAGACGCTGGTAAGATGTTTTAAAGGCAATAAATGTTTGTGTCCTTCAAGCAACAGTCAGCTGTCTGTCACGTAGTGACTAGTATTACATGGAGAAAAGGAGTGAGACGACTTCTACGAGAATATGAACATTGGACTTGTTGAGATTGGTATCTTCGAATAGCCCGATTTTGAACATCTTATCTCCAACACATCATTTGCATAGATCTTCTATTACGTGGGGCTTCTCACCTTCCTTCATACTGTCTTTCTTTGTGTTCCTTTCACGTTTCCCTATGAATCTCCACAGCGCTGTATCATTTCCCTTCTCTGAAATCAAATGTATCTCCCTGCTATTTGATGTTTTTATGTCGGCCGATGAACGTCTCTTTTTATACTACTGGCAAATCCTATCAGTAGTACTCGCCACAACAGTACACGAAAGACAATGATTATATGATTTGAAACAACCCTCGAATATAGACGTTACATAAATGTGTTTATATAAGAATTCAGTGATTTGAAATTATCTCCTGATCGAGAAGAGGAGAAGAGTGATTCAAGGATAAGTACGCAGAATTGTGATATGAAGAAGAGGTTAATCGAGTTAGTCCACACCAATTTACAGATCATTGTGTGAAAAAGAATGTTCGAATGTGGCGTTTGAGATCCTAGATGCACTAAACTGATAGATTAATCGACTATTAGTTTGAATATTAGATTAATACTATTCTTGGTTCCGAGTGGAAGATAGAGCTTCAATCGGTGTTCCCTCGGCGTGTGCCTAATCCATCAATATTTTCATCCACATATTTGTTTAGCAGTAAGATGTTGGTTGGTTGGTTGGTTGCGGTTGCACTGTTAGAGTTGTTTGTTGCTTATCCTTTCCGGTAGGCTGTTAGCGGAAGTTGGCAGTCTTAGAAATGCTTTTGATGATTCGTCAAGTCTCTGATCCATGTAGAAGAATTGACTTATGTTGATGTTGCTCTCTGTTGATGCTTCTCCTGTGAACTTGTTGGTTTTCGCCTACAAGTCTTCAAGTTTCCTTGATATTAAACCAAAATCGTCCTCGAAGTCCAGATCTTCAACAGTCTTTTATCAGTCCAACATATTTCTGTCTTCTAGCTCCCATGCACAGTCTGTCACATGATCCACTCCACTCACCACAATCTCCAATGTCATAAGTGGTAGCAAACACCCAAATGTTACTCCTGTCTTCACTTCAAAGGCTTTCCTGAGTTTTACGTTATGGTTCACTTGACATGTGGCATTGTCATTTAGCCAGCTGTTGACTGAGGCTGATAAAGATTTGGGCATTGCAGTCCCTAATGTTGAAGTATATTACAGTCGAAATTCACAAACTGTCGATCACACTTTTCTGATCTACAGAGCACTGAGATTGTGATGAATTTATTTCCACACACACACAAAACCCTGAAATTCCAAGGCGAAATATCACTATACACTCTCATTTAGTTTTATTCTATTGTCAAACTTTCAGCTGGCAGAAATCTCACACTGACAATTGGGGAGAGAAGTAAGTTCCATTTCGAAACGTGATGCAATATAATTAAATAATAAATTGAATAAGATTGAGACGAATTCACATCTGACAAAAATTTGATTATGACTAAGTGAACGATAGTGACAAAATTACTTATACCACTTATCAGCTAACAAACAAAGTTAATCCATTCCGCCGTAACACATAGACATCCAGCTGAAGCCACTACGTTGTATCACACTGCAGCAGGAAAGTAATGATAACTCATTTTCAAAATATCTAAAAAACTGCAGTGATGACGTCGCCATCACTGAAGTATCACCGTTGTATTCGGAGAAGCCATGTCTCCTATTCTACCTTCAACTTTGTTCTCTCCAACAGCCATAGAGTCAGATTACACATTTCTCTTTGGTCGCCTCATTTGCTTTCTCATTGGACAGTCTTATCGATTAGGACAATGAAGGTTTGTACTACTCCTAAGTAAATGCTGGAGATTATAACGAGGAAACTGGTTTCTTTGATATCATTCTCCCATGCGTGATTAATATTCACAAATCAAGGCAAAAAGAGGCCATCATGGTCGATAAAATCCCGATGAATGGTATAGTGTAATTTGAAAGATGTGATAAGGATGAAAGGATTTAGGCGTCAGATATGAAGACAGAATGACGATATGAATAAGCAGCTGAGGTGAAATCAACATCACTTAATGGAAGTTTTTAAGGAGGTGAGAAATGAGAAATCGCTATTTAGCCTGAGAATCTTTGTAAGTGGTAGACTGAAAACCGGAAATGGTCTGTCTACCTGAATTGAAGAGGTGGAATTTTCACGAATGAATGAATGAATAAGGAATGTCGTCCAAAATATTGTCAACTTCAATGCTGATAAAGTGATATTCGTTAGCGCAGCCTTTGTACTTAGCTGTATAGGAGTAGGTGGATTGAAATGTGCACCTGCAAGTGTTGGGAGGTTTGTCAACTGAATGCTGCCTAATCAGTTAGACATCAGACATACGCAATATAAGGCGGATATTGTAATTCAGACTCAGACTCGCTGTGATACACATTAAAAATTTACTACTTCAGGTAACGAATTGAAGTATTCAAGATGAAATACTAACTAGCATTGAAGCAGAATACTGACTAACTCTCGATTCACAGACATTGCAGTTTTCACATCAACTCTTTTATGCGTAACACACCCATCACAATAAACTGATGAACACATACTCGCCTAATTCTCTGCACTTCTTTTCATCCAAATTTATTAAAGTCGGAATATTTTTGAACTGGCTGAATGAAGTAGCCCGTAAGTCAAATATATAACAGTCACCTGATATTTTTATAACATCTTCCACGTTCATGTTATACAAAATCTTACCCAATTAAAAATTTAATGTTTCGGAAACTTCATCACCCATCCATCTTCCACTTCATATCGCAGCTTCTGACTAGCGAAATCGTCAACCGCCACACGTCAGCTAATATATTCCTAATTTATTGTTATCCACAGATGTGTGTTGTCTATTGACCAAAGTTCACCACCACAATTATTGTAATGTTTTGGTATTGATGACATTAGAAAGTGGAAATAACACAGCGTAAGGCAAATGGATTTGTGGCGCATAGTAGTACACAGGTTACTTTCAGCCAACCAATAACCTACTCATAAAACTTAGCGACATATTCCAGTGTTGATTTCACAAGTGATTATTCGTCGTAAATTCCTCATCACCACCCAGAAGTCACTTGTTTCTAGGGTTTCATTCTATTATCACTCACATGATGTTTCTGCATGAATACTTTGAAAGACATCAGATGTCCTTAGTGAAAGAAGACCCGTTACTCTCCACCTACTGTTCTATATCTGTAGTAATTTATTGTACTTGAAATATTAATATTCCGAGATGACGAAAATAGAAGAATCTAAACAAAACCCAGAGAGGTCAGCAATCAGGAATTTGTATTTAGCGGAATTCTTATGCAATTCATATAAGAAACATATCAACAGTCAACAGTAAGTATTTTAAACATACAGAGATAGAAATTGTCAATCACCACATCCGCCACACCTCGAATATCTCCTTGCGTATTTATAACGATGTCTCGGTTTGCTTGCAAGTAGCTTCGACCTAACTGATTCTGTGAACTTATTTCCATCAGTATTATCTGGACTTATTTCTGAATTATCTACAAGATCAGGATTATTAGCGGAATCAATAATATTATAATTGGAACGACCTACTTCATTTATTGTCACTTTGTCCAGGTGTCTGTTATGAACTGAGTGATCTTTGATGTCTAATATCTTCACCACTCGATTTCCCATTTTTTGTAGTATAATTCCAACAGAAGGTCTGTAGTTATTATCTTTGTAATAATGTACATTAGAAGTCGTGGACATCAGATGCTTCTTGAGAATTCGAGATTTGCAAAGTTTTGCAGGACTTTCACGGGTACATGTATGCTCTGCATTCGACAGACGCAGTCTATGCATATGCAGTAATTCCTCAATTTTATTCAGTTGCTCTCTCATCTCATTCAGTTCTTCTTGTGCTTTCGACAGTTCGCATTGCAACTCAGCTACCTCATCTTTGAAAACAGTTGATACTTGCGTTGCTGAACTTGCAGTGGAGGTTTTCGTTGGATTAGCTTGAGTATTTTGAAAAGTTGAAAGACACATAGACTCCATTTTACTAGACAGATTGGGAGAATTATAAGAATGTTGAGCAACATAAGTATTTGAACTTCTGCAAACCGTCTTGATATGTCCAACTTTACCACATTTATAGCACTTAGCACTCCGAAAACGGCAAGTGCTTCGTAGATGTAACTTTCCACAGGATAAACACGGTTTAATGTTTTTGATCTCTCGCTGCATTCTATTACCTGTGGACGGCAGTTTGGATTTCTTTCCATGAACACTTGTATTTTCGACTTTGGACAGCATGACATCAGATACTGACGTAGTGGGAGCAGAGTATTCATTATGGACATCTTCATATGTAATACATACATCTTTAGCAGTTTGAAACGTACAAGAAGGAATCTGAATTAACTCTTTCTCTAATTTAGGAATATTGATTCCAGCAATTAGACGATCACGTAGTTGAGTATGCAGCTGATCTCCAAAGTTACACTTTGAGGCTTGAATTTGAAGTTGAAGAATGAAGTCTCTAATCTTCTGGTTGGGAGAACGTACCAGTTTGTTGAAGTGAGCCCTCTCTCTCGTCTCAAATGTAGTCACATGAAAGTGATTTGTCAGAAGTTCACGGATCTTGTCATATGACATAGAAATGGGTTTATCTGGAAATGCCAGATTCTTCACCAGGCTATATGCATCAAGCCCAACAGCGGTGATGAAATGAGCAGGTATTTTATCATCCCGAACATTCTTGGAAATGCACCACGCATCAAAGCATTCCAAATAATCAGCAATCTCCCGTGGAGAACCATTAAGAGGAAATTTTCCCAGGTTACTTAGCTCCATCGCGACGCCAATTTGTAGTAATTTATTGTACTTGAAATATTAATATTCCGAGATGACGAAAATAGAAGAATCTAAAAAACCCAGAGAGGGCAGCAATCAGGAATTTGTATTTAGCGGAATTAGAATGCAATTCATATAAGAAACATATCAACAGTCAACAGTAAGTATTTTAAACAATACAGAGATAGAAACTGTCAATCACCACAATATCTTTATCGAAATTGCACACATTTTGTCTGCTATAATGTAAAACGAACGCTGGAACACTATCCAACATGGTTGGCGAGAACAGAAGGCAAAGCGGCATACAGTTCGATAACAGAACATCTGGTGAATTCTGGACATTCAACCACATTTGAAAAGTTTCTCAACGCTCTATACAAGATCCGATCCAACCTACCAAAGGGAGTGAGATCAAGGCATCTAGAAACAGCTGAAGCACTGGCGATCCGAAGACTCAATCCTACTCCATGTATCCAAAAGAAATGCCTTCAACCATTGTCCCTACCATGGCCATCATGAAAATTTAGTTAATATTATACCTTTAACCCGTAATTACACAAACTGACTAGTTTTCTGGTAATTATAATCCTATTTTGTCTTTCCTACCCGATCTTCCTGATTAATGCACATTGGAATCTTTAATTTGACCCGTGACCTGAAATATTTCTAGAATAGTGCCACTACTCATCTTCTGTTTATTACACTCAGTAACTTTATGAATCTGACCGCTGAACGGAGACAGATCTGGAACATTCTCACACATTTACTATAAATACTCGAATGTACAGCGCTGTCTAGTTGATAACATCGTCGGAAAGAAAACTTTTTCCGCTGCAACTGTCTCTTTAATAATTCCTATAATCCACTGTGTATGTTCCGTAAATGTAATCCTTAATATTCGCTTATTTGCTTTCCAGAAATCACCAACTTAATCGATTCACAACCAGTCGGTATGTTCACTATGCTATGAGAGATAGTCTTTGAATTAGTTTTTTCTTTATTGTGGAAGAATTTCAAAATTAACTGTTTTTCAAAATATCCATATCACTCTGACATTTAATTCATCGATTCTTCGAATAGTCAACTTATTCGGATATGAATGAACATCCCTCAGAATCGATCATCATCAAAACTCACTTAAATTTATCAATAATTGACTGCATGTTTAGGCATTACACAAAAATACTCCATTGAATTTAAAACTTCAAATACTACAGAATGACTAATAAGTCCTTTCAGATCAGATTATACTGTGCACTTGTGATATTAACTATAACTGTTAGCTAGCAAAAGTGTGTTCAACACATCCTTTTCCGATTTGAAAGTAGGAGCTAGATTTCTAACTTATATCAACAATGAACTTCATATATCAAGGAAAGACTCGCGAAACTGCCCACCATAAATCATGCTGACTAATTCAGGACACTAAAATAGGTTACCACGAATCATCACTGAAACTTAGTGTCTCTAGTCTTCCTCTGAATTGAGAATCAATCGAATCCATTGATTTTTGACATGCATGAGAACATCAATGCTTTGATGAGTTCATGTACCAATTTTGAGTCTAATTTCCACCTTATTTTATTTTAAGCAACACAACATGAAGGGGAATCTCTAGAAACCAGAAGTAAGTTGATTTCACAAGTCTTCTAATCATACCTCCCTTGAGATATATTCACGACACAAATGTTAAAAAATTTATTTTGTTGTAAACTGATATTTCTAATGTGGTGATGGTGAAGATGCCCACACCGATAATGAAACTACTCACTTATCAAAATGTCTGCTTAGCTATGTCTCCATCATTACAATGACGTGACTGTCATCTCTTCGACTACCTCCTTTCTCGTTTCAAGTCTGTTGGCGAAAATATAACACTACACATGAGCATTCAACGATCTCTGTAGCAGTGTGTGTGATAACAACTTGTGATTTGTTGTCTTCACATTAGATATTTAGGCAATCTCATTATTATTATTATGTATTAGTGTTTCCTTCAGTTCCTAGAGGAACATAGGGTTTCATCCGCAAGTGTCCATTGTGCTCGGTTCTCTACCAACGTTTTCACCTGACTCCATGTCTGCCCACATGCTTTCATCTCCTCTTCACATCACCTCCTCCACGTCACCCTCGTACTGACGACCAACTCTCCGCTTCCCATTCGGTCAGGTTACACTCAAGCGACGACCTGGCGTGTGATGTCACTCCCTTGATAGTATGGCCAGAATATGGCCAGCCCGCCTCCCTTTCTTCCTGCGTATTTGTTTCACAATCGGTTCCTATATGGTTGGTTCACTCCCAGAGATCACTGTTGCTGATCTTTTATGGTCGGCTATCTGATCTTGAGTATTGAACGAAGACAGCTGTTGATGAAGTGCTCTCCATGACGCGGCGCCAAATCTCTGATCCATAAAGTAGCACTAACCTCACATTGGAGTTGAAAATCCGGATCTTATTTTCACGCTGAGTGTTGTCGACCTCCACATAGACTTGAGAGAAATCACAGCTTGCATTCCTTTCCCGATCCTCGCTTTGATATCCTCATCAGTTCCGTCAGCCTGTAGTTGAAAGGATGCATCCCTGGTGGGTAGGTGACGGAGGTTGCTGCTTTCAAATTGCTCCACTTTATGCTGGCTGATCGTTGTCTTTTGCTGTTGCTGTTGCTATCGGTCAAAAATCTCACAATGTGGCATAATTTCTTTCAAACACATCACTTATGTACATGTGAGACTGAAACTTCAATTCATTACTCATAGTAATATGTCAGTGATTGATAAAGCAAATTCCGCTATCAAACATTATTATTACTGTTCATATTTTAGTTGAGAATAAGCACACTCACACATTTAATTTTTTAAAGGTTTGACGGATATCTCGTTCAACAACTTCTAATTAAATAATTCTCGCGTACCAAAGACAAAGCAAAAGCCAATATATAAAGTTATATTTGTAAAATCTCAGCGAAATTGAAATGATTAATTCCAACGTTTCGTTCGGCAATCTGGTCCGAACTTCTTCAGGGAAATTAATCGAAATTAACATAACAAAGTTTATATATATAAAATTTGTTATGTTAATTTCGATTAATTTCCCTGAAGAAGTTCGGACCAGATTGCCGAACGAAACGTTGGAATTAATCATTTCAATTTCGCTGAGATTTTACAAATATAACTTTATAAATGTCTACTTCTCACTCAGCGCTCAATTATTTGCAACTATCCGATCAAATCTTGATCACAGTTCGTATGAACAAAAGCCAATATTTGATCGTCCAAACTACGTGATATATTTCGGGACCAAAACAAGCCGTCAGACGAACGCTTAGCTGGCAAGTGATCGTGCACATGACACGACGGGGTACCAAATGGCGGGGATTCTTGACCGGAAGCCTTCAGCTAAACAAGTCGACTTAAACAGTGGTGGTCAGCATCCAATGAGTGATAGCTGTGGTCAATAATTTTGGGGAATTATTTACCGCTACACTCTGAATTGAATGTGAAAGTAACGAAGTGTGTACGGTTTGTGTATGTATTTCAAGTGCGAAGTACTTCTAACGGGATCTGGATATAGTAGTAGAGATTAGTGTTCTTATTAGGTATAAACATGTTTTGCTAATCCAATGAAAACTCATTCCATTCCAAATGAATTTCATCACTTCACATACGTGTGGGCGTCTTTCACACATACAAACACGCACCACAATGAAATATGTTTCCAAATGATCTCCTGCAGAACTACATTAGAAAACACTTGACTAATAAATACAATCACCGCCCGCTTCAATAAGATGTAGACTTCATAGCGACGACTTTGGACTCTACTCTGTTGACTACAACAAAGCTGTGATGTGTACGATGAAATTTTAATTTTTCTCTTGTCATTTTCATGATGTGGTCCTAATTATCAGTTATCTGTGTTTCTGCTAATATAATTTAGGGCGAATATTTGACGAGTGGTTTGAAACAGTAAGGGGTGAGTTGACTGTCTTTTATGGGAAATGGGAAACACCATGTTCTTTTGTGGTCTTATTATCCATTCTCCTTCATGTAACATAAATTCTCTCTGTAGTAATGGTGACAAGTATATCATGATCATTTCAATGTGGTTTTGTGCATTCTTAACATTCATCCTGGTATTTTTGATTGGAAATTAGTCTCCTGACTAGTGTCCAGTCAAAAATATCCAATGTCTTCTTCCTACAGAGAGTGAATCACGAGCCTGAATAGCTTCAGTGATATCGTCTCTGACTGCAGTCCCACTGGGCGACACGCGTTCGAATCTCAGAAGGAACATGAGTTCCTTCAATGTTGCAGATATGCCTTGCTGCTGATTGCCAACTACCACGAAACCTACATCTGGACAGGGCTTTGTGCCAACTGCCTCCAACCATCTAACACAAACACTTCATCCTGTTTTCAACCGTTTACATTCGCCTTGAGATAACTACTATCTACACAAATGTGATATACAGTAAAGTCACAATTTGAAAGTTAATGAATTGCTTGACTTAGTAAACTGCGCTCAAACTTTGAATTCACTACTCACATTATTATTACTATTCTAAAGTTTGAGGAATGAGTGTGCTAAAATGAAACACATTATGTTATACAGAACTATATCAAATTAATCAATCAGACAGAAACATGTTCACTTCAAGGTTAACTCACATTCAGTATACACGCGTGAATATAAAAATAAATAGCAAATTCCTTCAGGATGATAAAATCACTGAAGGTACCCACCCGTCAGTATGGCTGTTCATATACACAACTTACTAACTGACTGAGTCTCGACATAGAACTTGGCACTGAAATGTAGCGGTTCGATTTGCGACTCTCCATGGAATGGCAGATGGAGTAAAAGAGATTTTAAAGGAGCGATAATAAGTAGAGATAGGAGGGGGAATGAACAATAACATGGAAAGACATGAGGGTTTAATGGATAGAGGACATCACCGAGAGTGAATGTGTCTGAGTCACTGACAACGATTTTGAAATATATCACAATTTGTCCATAGCCATTGGTTCTTACCATTTGTGAGGACATTAACCAGAGGAGATGTCTACGAGGCTTGTTCAATCTAACTGTCAAAGACTTCATGAAATGATGTCAGGTTTCATCTTGACCAATCTTTTGCAATCTAGTTCTATTTCAGCTAACTTTCTTCAACAAGGAAGATGATGGCCAAGAATGGGCGACACGTGTCTTGTCCTAGACTCCTTAATGGGCTCACACTCACCAACTCATCGGTCTACTTAACCTGCTAACCTCACCGTATTACAACACTAAACACGTTAGACAGAGCACGAGCATCTGTGGACAGGCACAACTGCCCTTTTCATGTATTCCACTTTTAATGTTCATATCTCACAGTTGTAAAGGAGGGAACTGCCAAGCAGTACACACATCCTTTCATCGATAGCCAGCCGGATATCACGTCTAAGCTAGAGACGACGTAATTTCGCCAATATCACACAAGACATTCGTGTTCCTGCTAAGGTTTCGCCAGCAATCAGCCCGTTGGGACTGGTGTAGCTTCTCAATAAGTGAAGTGGCCAGAACACTCCACCGCTTCACTCCGTACTTTTATGCTACGAAACGGTGTATTCCAGTACTGTAGCACCATCTTACATTTGACAGCAGGAGCAAATCACACCCATGCCAAACAACATTTGAATATGCCTATTAAAGATGTTGACAAGACTGTATTTGATCAGCAACCTCTCCCAACACACTCTAAGTCAATAAGACTGTTCCCTGGTAACAAGTCAATCAATCCACAAGTCGCTAAAATCACCTGGGGTGAAAATGAAAAAATCTTGTTTTGATTTTCTAAACACTGGGATTATTTTAAGTAATTTCATTTTGGCACTGCACTCAAATTATTTCAGCGCGTATTCTCAACACGTTTAACACAACTGAACCTTCGATATTGTAAAAGCTTAAAGATGGAAATAATAATAAGTAACACCGATGATGTTCTTAACTGTGGTGGACTGAATTACATGTCAGACTGTTGGGGGCGAGGAGTCAGGAATACGATGGACCACCGATAAGAAGACTCTAGAAGATCTGGATTTCTCAGATGATATATGTCTAGCGTCACACAAACTCGAAGATCTACGGGAAGACGAAGACCAACAACCTGGCAGGAGAGTAAGTCAGCGAAGACAGGACTGGAGGTGAACGCAGAGAAGACGGAGGTGATGAAGATAACCAACGAACTGCAACAACAACAACAACCAGCACAAATCACCACCACAAGGGAGAGATTTGACTGAGGTTACTTCCTTCCTTCACTTTTCGAGGTAGCATAGTTTCAACTACAGGTAATTGGAACCAATGAAGATGTTAGAGCTGGCCAGAATCTCAAAGGCAGGACACGCCCTCATAAACCTGAAACCAGTTTGGAAATCTTCTGCACTCAGTCAGCCATCATAAAGCAAAAGATAGGGATTGTCAACACCAGTGTGAAGTTGGTCCTTCAATTCGGGTCAGAATCTTGCACTGAGTGTTACGAAAAGGATTTCCAACAGGCTGCAGACTTTCATCAACAGCTGCCTTCGCTGGTTGCATATTGAAGATCAAGTAGGCTGCTGAAAAGAAAGAATTAGCAACAAGAAACTCTGCAGTGGAACAAACCAACAAGTAAGAGCCGATCGCACAACAGATATGCAGGAGAAAATGGAGGTGGATTGATTGATTGGGCATACATTGAGGAGGTCGCCGAATAACATCACGTGCCAGGCCATTGCTACAGTGGAATCCCGTTGGGAAGCGACGAGTGCGTCCTCGTCAGTGAGAGGGTGACATGGAAGAGGTGGTGTGAGGAAGAGATGAGAGAGATTCGTCAATCATCGACCCACCTAAAGATGATCGCAGAAAACAGGAGAAAGTGGAGATGTGTTGTTCAAGCCCTGTGTTCCACTCGGAACGCAAGGGAATAATAGTAATAATAATATAACACTATGCGAATGAGGAGTGTTGTACAATGAAGCAAAGAAACAATAATATAGCTACAGGCTCAACGTAGCCCTCGAGTAAGTTCCTGCCTATATTAATCAACTGCATAGGCCTTCAAGCATCTGTAGTGATGTCTACCTATAAGATGCCTAGTGTTGAAATGGACACAGACTGATTTGTATAGTTGTAATAACGACAATAATAATAATAATGATAGTGTAATTTCAACGCTTTGTTTCATATTTTCGTCTATATTCTACTATTATAGAGGACTACATGAAAGAACTTGAACAGCAAAATGCTTCACTCTAACCACTACTACCCAGATCGTGTTACCTATAACGAAAATTGTATTCTGAATCAATTTTATTTCAAATTTCCAATAGATTAAACGTGAATATTAACAGTTTGACTGAGTTTCATTGGTACTCACCATAAATTGGCATGTTATCAGTGATTATTTCTGACACAATCCTCATGTGTCAGTGTGATGAGTATTCAGGTTTCAATTGTTTTCATTTTCTTCCTTGCTTCCTTCGTATTCTACAATGAATGAGCATCTCGCGCGCTGTTTGAAAGGGAGTGCTTTTTTCACGTAAAAAAAAATTTTGACAAATCGCTGTTTTGTTGTGTTATTCACTTCAAGAACATTTAAAAAAAACTTTAACTTGACTTTTGTCTGTTAAGTTTTGATTTTAACCACTTATATAGTCTATATTGGGTAAATTGTCTTGGCTGTTTCCAGTAGAAGTTCATTATGTCAAAAGTACCACATAAATGTAATAGGGCGGAGTGTTACTTTTTGGTAGATGATGGAATACAGTGTAATAACTGTGAAAAATGGTATCATAAGATGTGTACTGGATTACGTCCAGCTGCATACAAACGCTGTACTGCTCCAACATCCCACTGGATGTGCAGAATGTGTTGCTCCCCAAAGATGACCTTAATAAGGGAGGCTCACGAACTGCTGTCTAAAGCCATGGAACTTCCTGATGATAGCGTGGCTAGTAAGAGTGACACGGACTGCCCGTCTGAAGATGAAGCAGTAAGTGCCATCATGAATGTTATCACACCGGCGGTTACTATCCCAGTTACCCCGGAAGTAAAACCTACTAGGCGTTCGAAGCGTCTTAGTAAGCGAAAAGGTAACAAAACGGAAGCTGTAAACAGCACCTCAGAACCAGAGAACACCGTAAGCGAAGTTCACCATGAAGGTGGCGCAGACACTGATCTTGATTGTACCATCAAAAACTGCAGCAGCCCTGAGAAGCAACTGCAGGCAGATGATAAATGGGTAACAAAAATAAGCAGTCGGAAGAAATATAGTAATATTGATGGTAGGCAAACGTCTGTCACCTGTAGCCAGGCTGCATCAATAGTGGTGAGAAAGGACGTAGCCACTGCTAAATACGACAAGCTCTCCTTAGACTCTAACATAATTGTTGGAAATTTGGAAGAGTCCAAAGAATCTGATCCCGTGAAAAGGCACGATCACGACCTTAAATTAGTGAGTAGTATTATAAGGAAGATGCTCCCAGCGAATTTCCCTGGAGTATCGATTAAAAAGCTGATTAGAATAGGCAAAAGAGATGATGAATGTTCTAGTCAGCGTAGGTTGCTTAAAGTAGTCTTAGGTTCTCCTGATGAACGGAATCATCTACTGGCTAATGTACACAACCTTGCCGGGTCAGGAATTTCAGCCAGACCTGATTTATCTCTTGAAGACAGACTTAAACGAAAAGAAGTTTTGTCCCAGCTAGAAACAAGACGCAAAAATGGTGAGACTAACCTTAAACTGGTGGGTTTTCAAATAGTCAGGTCTTGGAAACGTATGCTTCCAAGACCTGTGTGGATAGGCCAGACCGCATAGGAAGCCTGAAGGTAGTGTACACTAATATACGTAGTATCGGGAACAAATTTCACGAGCTAGGTGTATTAGTAGAAGACCTTAGCCCAGGTATTGTGGCCATTACTGAAACATGGCTGGTTTCGGGATTAGATGACACACCTGAGCTATGCGGATTTAGTTGCTTGCGCAGCGACAGAGTTAAGGGTCGTAGAGGTGGCGGGGTTGCTCTGTACATCAACAACTCCCTACATGTTCGTTCCGTGAAATCTGAAGCTCATGACAGTGGGACAGGTGAGGTAATTAGCTGTGAAGTAAGCTTTGCAACCGGCACTCTACTCATTGGAGTTCTGTATAGAAGTCCCTATTGTCAGTGTGATGACTTCATTTTAGATCACCTCAAACAATGGAGTAAACACAGTAGCTGTCTTATTCTAGGTGATTTTAATGCACCTCATATAGACTGGGTAGCTGTCACATCTCCAGGATCCGCTGATAAGTTTGACAGCCGGTTACTCTTGACAACCATGGAAAATGCCCTGACACAACATGTCTTAGGTAGTACAAGATTCGGTTCTACCCAAGGATCTTCCTTGCTGGACTTAGTGCTTACTCATGACAACGACGACGTGGATGGTCTAGTTATTCATCCACCTCTAGCAAACAGTGATCATGGGGTGTTAGATTTTAACTTAAGGGCTGGCAATTTAGTCAGTTTTCAACCCAAATCCCGGCCTAGTGTTTGGCATGCTGACATAGTGGCTATAAAGGAGCGTGCTTCAACTGCCGACTGGTCAGTCAACATTGTCTCATCCATTGAAGATGAATGGGATAGATTTAAGAATACACTTGAGAGGGTTACCACTGATCTCATCCCCTGGAGGGTTCCTAAAAGGCCAACAAATCGGCCACCATGGATAAATAGACAAGCTATAACACTCCTGAGACGGAGAAAAAGGTTCTGGAATCTCTTTGTTTCTACTGGGCTACAGCAGTTCCGGCTGAAATACTGTGAAACCAGAAACCAGTGTAAAACTTTGATCCACCAGTCAAGGATAGCTTACGAAACCCAGTTAGTTAAAAGTTCACCAGGCTGCCCAAAAAGACTCTTCTCATATATCAAGAGAAGAACACGTAAGAGTGATGCTATCCCACCTCTTATGCTTGAAGATGACCAGACAAACATGGCTGAGGATAACTTGACCAAGGCTGAGGCTTTGTCCAAGCACTTTAGTCAAGTATTCTCTGATAATATTGATACCAGCTTTGTAAATTTTCCAGAAGGTAACTTGAAAATGGCACCCTTATACATTGGAAAGGATACTGTCCTAAAGTGGCTTCTAAGGCTCAATCCTGGTAAGTCCAGTGGCCCTGATGAACTCCACCCACGTATATTAACAGCATTGGCTGAAAGCATAGCCGAGCCATTGTCGGTAATCTTCAATATGTCTCTGGACCAGTCTAAATGTCCAAGAGACTGGAAAGATGCCATCATTAGTCCGGTCTTCAAAACCGGATCTAGAAACTTAGTTCAGAACTATCGTCCTGTTAGTTTGACCAGTATTGTTGTTAAACTACTAGAAAGAATAATTCGTGATGCTATCATTCAGTTCATTGAAGGGAACAAACTTTTCGCTGTGGAACAGCACGGTTTTAGAGCAGGTCATTCTTGCTTGACCAACCTTCTTTTGGCCAGAGAAAGTTGGGCAAGCTCAGCTGATGCTAATATACCGGTGGATGCCATATTCATAGACCTTAGCAAGGCGTTTGACAGGGTTTCTCATTCAGGTCTTCTAGTAAAGTTAGGTAGTCTGGGAATCAATAAAGTGGTTACCGACTGGATTCAAGACTTTCTAAAGGACAGAAGACAAAGAGTACGAGTTAACGGGGTTTTATCAACATGGGAATCGGTTAAGAGTGGCGTTCCTCAGGGTACAATTCTAGGCCCACTTCTTTTCCTGATTTATGTTAATGAGATTCCATCGGTAGTTAAGTCATCCTGCTTACTGTTTGCTGATGACATCAAGATATGGAGGGCTTTGCACGATGACAGTGATCAACTTGCTTTGCAGGAAGATTTAAACTTGTTAAGTGATTGGTGTAAGCACTGGGCCTTGGAGATTAACTTAAGCAAGAGTGTAGTTATGCATGTATCCCATAGTCACGTGCACAATTACTCAATGAATGGCATTACTCTCCCAGTGGTCACTGAGTACAAGGACTTGGGAGTGGTTGTGCAGCATGACTTGAAAACAGCAACAAACTGTAGAACTGCAGCCACTAAGGGTTTTCGAATGTTATGGGCCATACGCAAGGCTTTTGCGAACTTTGACGCTGATATATTTCGTATATTATATCCGACTTATATCAGACCTCATTTGGAATATGGGATCCAGGCAGCGAGCCCGTGTTTCAAATACGAAATAGACTTATTAGAAAGGGTGCAAAGAGTAGGAACTAAGCTAATAAAGGGTTTCTCAACCCTGTCATATGAGGAGAGGTTAAGTCGACTGGGTTTATTTCCACTGTCATACAGACGACTTAGGGGTGACCTAATACTAGCATACCGTATCCTAAGAAATGATTTTGGAGCTAATTTATCTAAATTATTTCTTCCTTCTAGCACCAACCAATTGCGAGGACATCACCTCAAGGTTCAAAAACCACGGTCGAATCGTCTGCGTCTGGAAATCCGTTTTTCGCATCGAATTGTGAACCATTGGAACTCCCTACCGGAACATGTCGTATCAGCGCCATCCGTTGATTCATTCAAGGCGAGATTGGACCTCCTGTATGAAATAAATCGAAAGGATTAACACAGGCATATAGCCTACTATCCTAAATAAATTGTAAACTGTAAACTGAATGGAATGATGAAGGGGGATGTTGTTCTCATGATTCTTATTACTGTAATTTATTTATAAATACACATTACAAATTCCACGAGAGTCTTATCCTTCCTTTGAATACTTCTAATATTTTTACATGAGAAAAAGGCGTAAACAGAGAAGAAAATTCTTCTTTAAACGATTCATTCTCATAAGCTGCTGTTAAATCGTAATTATGTTCAACAAAGAAATCACAAGACCGATGAGATACTGGTAAAATTTGTCCTCGAAAAACGTATTACGTAATGTAAGGTGGAACCGAGAAGAGGTGACTAATTGGAAGTTAGAAAAGAGGCCGAAGTTGATATGATGTAATGAGTGTGAGTTAAATGACTAGTCAATAAGAATCTGTAAAATGGATAGGAACTGGTGGGAAGTCAAAAAAGTGTTTTTATATAAAATCTGTATGAAAATGCAATTTTATTAGAGTGGTAGCGAAATATGGATGATGGGAACAATAATGATAATAAAATAATAATAACGACAACAGTAATCTTATACAGTAAATAATAAGCAAAACTATATCGGGAACGGTAGGGCGAGTGGATGTATGTAGTGCTTTTGAATGCAGAGGT